CCCCCCGCCCCCCCCCCCCCCCCCCCCCCCCCAATGTGGTCAAAATTGTGCCCTTGATCAGATTCAAGCATTTTTTTAAAACATCAGCACTCTCTGGTTTAAAAAAGATTCTTGTAAAGCCAAATAAAAGTGAAGTGTTGCTTTTACATATAGTTTTTGGCTTATACTTCTTCATGTATAAGCATGTTAGGTTTTCAGCCATGACTTTTGATTGCAAGTAAGCAAATTCCCAGTATGCACCTAGTTTGTGGCATATCTGCTTCCTTCAGTGCATGAGCAGGACCATGTCTCGCCTCTCTAAAGATGATGTCTATAATCAGGTTCTATTTTCAGAGTCAGCGATTGTAGCAGCTTAGAAATATGCAGTACAAAAATGCATGAGTGAGCATGAAAGAATATGTTTTAATAACCAGGACTTCATTATAATGGTAAAATTGTATATCAGTGCTAGTGGAGTAGAAGTGATAAGGTTTCAATCAAGAAACATTCTCCATTTTCTCCAGATGGTAACTAGCAGAAGATAGATGGGTTTCTTTTAAATCTAACCCCATCCACTTCATTATGTGCTGCACTAACATTTGTGCATTCTGCTGCACATGAAAACACAATGCCTGTGTTAGTACATTTGTTCTTTTGAGTTCTTTATAAGATACAGTCAGTAGATTAGAGACTGATCTTCAGTTTTATATCAAATATAGAACTACAGTCAGAGCTTGCTTTATCAGGTCAAGCAAGAAAGTTGTGAAGGTCACAGGCAGGGTCATCCTTAGGATTTATGGGGCCCTATGCAATACTAACAACAGTGGGGCTGACAGCCTCGCCAGGCCTCTTGGTAAGGAGGGGTGGGATGGGGAGCTGTTTTGCACTCCAGAAAATGCAAGGGTGGGCACTGGAACTAAGAAGGGCAGCCCTCTGTGTTGCACAGTGTGTGCAGTGCCTCCTCCCTCCCTCCCCCACCAGCCCTCAGTACTGCCTGGAGAGCACTACATGGCACTTGGCCAGGTATTTAAAGGGCCTGGGGCTCCAGCCACCTCCATTGCTATTGCAGCAGTGGCCGTAGCCAGGAGCTCTGGACGCTTTTGTATCACTGGGCCCTGGGGCATTTGCCCCCTTCGCCCCCTTGGCAGTGGTGCCCCTGTGCCGCACAACAGCCAAGAAAGGGAAGAAGGGAATTTTAGAGATGTGATTTTATAATCTCCAGCAACACGCTAATGAAATATTTTTAAAGCAAAA